TAAGCATGGTCAAGAGTAGTAACGCCCCAAAGGACGAGCTTAAGTTTAAGATCATCTCTGAGGCCTTGCCTAAACCTACTTAAGGTCATGGCTTCATACTCAGTCGCTGGTCGATTGCATTGCGTGAGAGCATTACATTAATTCAACAAATTACCCCTACACGATTGGGGTAAACATTTCTTCTAAAGTCGACGCTTCATTTCATACCACCTTCCAATAGAAGGAGCACGACGTCTCTTAAGGAGCTCCTCAACACTTTCCCAAAAGAGTTGTGTGGTCCAGTTAATTTTTAACTAGCAAATTGAACTCTCTAGTCTTCTAAGACCCCATACCAAGCAAAGAAACGGTCCATATCTCTAGCCAATTGAGTAAATACTCGAGGGTCTAAGCAACCATCAAAATTTGGGGNCAAGCAAAGAAACGGTCCATATCTCTAACACATTGAGTAAATACCAAGAGTCTAAGCAACCATGAAATGTTGGGGCATCTAGTTTAATGTTTCTAAAGAAACGGTTATTGGGCGAGGAGGAGATTGAGTATCATGACGGTGACGCTCTCGCTTCCGATCACGAACTTGATATCCATCCATATGGTTATGCCTAAAGTGTTGTCCACCACATTGGGGACGACGATAATGCCTATTACTTTACGCTTTCGAGTTTTCAGCTTCAGTCGAATGTGGGGTTTGTTCAAAGGTGGACAACCTAGCAGCTAAATCTCTATTTTCCTCATGAGTAGTGGCCATCTGAGCTTGGACAGTCGTTGATTGAGTTTGTAACTATTGTTGTTTAATGACAAGTTGTGCTACTTGTTGAGTGAGGACATTAAATAGGGATGGGTCCATGATCATGTTGATGGAACTAGATATAACAAGAAGACCACTACGCAACTGCATGTAATGCACTATCGGCTAAATGAAGTGTATAGAGAGATCAATAAACAACTCATTTTTAAATCAAAAATAACATTCTGGTCAATTTATTTATTTATTTGGGATTATATAAGTCCAAATACGGAAAAATGAGTACCACTTATCTATGTAAAATAATAAAGAAAATGTCAAATACGATTCATCAACTTAGTCACATAAAATAAGTGAGAATGTAACATGGTTAGAAATTAAAATTAGTGGGATAAAAGTGGGAGTATAACAAGATTAGAGATTTAGTGATGTGAATTGTAGGTAAAATTGGAATAACAGCAACATAAAAATTTGATTGATGTAATTTTATAATGAAACGGTAATGTAAGTTAAAGATAAAGGATAAATGAATAATAGCTTTCCTGTTGTTCGTCAAAGTAATTGAGCTCCATGTAATTGATCTCCAAGGCAAAGAAACAGTAGCTCCCCATTTGGTCGTTGAAGTAACTCATCCAATAAGTAGGTCAAAGAGAAGTACTTGCAAAAATGTTAGAAAAATACTTTTTTTTTTTTTTGCTATCTTTTTTTTTTTTGAAACTAAAAATAAATTACACTAAAAATGGAGGCCCAAGTACCAATCAAGTTACAGAACTAAACATGCCCAATTGAGGCCCAAAAATAATACTAATCAGACCTTTTTTTTTTCACCGAAAGCAAATTACACTTATAATAAAAGCAGGCACACAACAAGGCCCAAAATTACCAACTTAAGTAGAGGCCCAAAGGGCCCAAATTAAAAAAACACAAGGGCCCAAATTGATAAGCGGGCCCAAATTGAAAGAATAGCCAAACTTATAAGCATGCCCAACTGGACACGATCGATTTTAACTTCAAATAGAGGACTTGACATAGGCAGAAGAGCTGACGCCGAACGACTGGTGGTGGCCTTCGCGTGATAGACGAGTAGGTTGTCTTCTAGAGGCGGCCAGAGAGAATGAGTGAGCGGTGGGCGAGAGAGAAAAACTGTCGATTTGGTGTGGTTGCGCGTGGCTGTCAATTGGAGTTATAGTTGGTGGTGGGTGCTTGTGGTAGTCGCAGAAGAATGGAGTTATGGATTTCTTAACTTTTTATTTTTTTGAAGTGAATAGCGTCAACCCACTACTACAAGCCCACTAACAATAAAAATAGAAAACATAAATGATAAAACCGAATAACAATAAAAATTAAGTCTCATCAACATATGTCTTGCATATGGTCTTGGTAAAGAAATTAAATACTGGTGCAACTGATACATGTAATTGGAGATTCTATGAGCATGAGATGAAGGAAACATAATGTCTTACCTCAATAGGTAGAAAAATGAGGGTTATGTTGAACTTCATTNATTATCATTAATTAATTAGTCTTGACTACATGCGTCTTGCATAGGGTCTTGGTAAATAAATTAAATATTAGTGCAACTGATACATGTAGTTGGAGATTCTATGAGCACGAGATGAAGGGGACATAAGACCTTACCTTAATAATTAGAAAAATGAGGGTTAGCTTGAACTTCATTATGTCTTTAGCAGGGCATTAACGCCTAATATTATTTTGAATCAAATCCCTTAATATTATTTTTGTCACCTATCATCATTTCAAGTATTCAAGTTTAATGTAACTAATGCTTAATACAAAAAATTTTATTTATTTTTATATCTACATCATCATATAACCAACTATACTACACGTGCATCTTACTAGTATCTTTGTACAAGAATATGTTCTTAGAAAGCTGAAATCTATACACAGCTGTGCTTTGCTGATCAAGAGCATTTGCATGTCATATGCAATGTGCTCAACTGTTTTCTGCATTTTGTATAGAGCCATGGGGCTTATCACTTATGTGCACTATTGTACTTCTTCATTAAAATCTGCACGGTGAGACTCGGGTGGGGTCGATTACTGGCAAGGTTGTTGCGACCCCAACCATCTTTACACCCCATACTCAATTATTGATCTGCCTTAGCCATGATTTGACTAGTTCATGTGTCAAACTTTGGCTGAACCTTTGGTACTTGTTGAACTAAAGACTTTTCAAATTGCACAAACCAGCCACCAGCCTACAAAAGTTAACTTATTTTTTTTCCATTCTTTTTTCCTGATAGCCTCTCTATTTGGATTTCAAATCATGCAATTGGGCAAGTTGAGGACAAGTTCAAAGTTGGCCTAATAATTAATTGTATGAAGGCAGTGATTTTTGCCCAAACTTGATGTCTTTACATTTGTATTCAGAACACGTGTTTTTGATTGGACTCAATTGACAATTCGACCGATTCAAGTTTTTAGTTGACATTTGGTTTGGTCATAAGGAGTATGGGCAAAGGGTGTGGGGAATGGGGTAAATGAGACGGGAGAGGAAAGGAGTGGGTGGATTTTTAAATAAAGCAAGCTCTTACGATCTCGGATATCGAGAAATCGGAGCCCTCTACGTAATATTTGGTTCCATAGAGCTTGTATTCGTGGAA